TTCCGTCATACAGAACCACAGGAGTCAGTGGTAATGCTTAAAGTCATTACTAACCTTGACGTAGTAGTTAGAATCCTAAAGTGCACTCCCTCATAATCGCCTTTCTTTTTACACTTTTTTAAAGGCATAGAGACCTTTTAGGTAAAGCACTGTGGCACTTAAGGGAAACCACAAAAATACAGCGACTAAAGTAAGCAGCATAAGCATGGTAAATGCTCCATTTTGATGAAGCGAAATAAAGGTGGAGTTGCTGTGCATGATTTAGCTGTTACATCAAGCATCATGCGGGACTCGGCACATAACGCAGAGTGAGTCCCTCTAATGACCAATTTTCTAACGGCCTATCCATCATTTAAGTCACGAACCCGATTTTCCGCGGTGAACTCGATCAATGAAGGAAATCCTAGTGTTTAAGTAAACTAAGGCGTCTGTGGTTCAAATACCCATTGCTAATCACCTACTAAGTACATGTCAGAAAGTTGACGGGGACGTGGCGTTCACAGTTATTTACTGCAATATGTACACCAAAATACTCATGTTCGACGAGGCTGTAGCCATCAGTCACAATAGTCGTGACTTCGTAAACTAAAGCAGTTGACTATCACGCTCAAGTTTCTGTGGGTATCTTGATACATTTTTCACCACTTCCGGGCCTACTTTAGCCTACGCGGTTATATGCCTCCCCTTTCTTCATGTCAGCATTCAGACTATGGATTCTTTCCCTCAGTGATTGCTTAGCGTGTTGCTCGTTTGCATGTGATCGGAGGGTGCGAAATAATATCCTTTTGCAACACCCATCTTCTTATTGTATTGTATAGCATCTCATTATTCGTCAAAAACACAAGTAGCACCGAGCAGCAAAAGAAATTATTGCATCGGGCTATCAAAGCATTCACAGAATAGCACTTGAGACCAACTTCTCAGTTTACAATCTCATTCATTTACGCTGAGCTTAGTCAAAAATCGCCAACACGGCAAAAGTTATAACTTACCTCGTTAGTGTGATTTGGTGTGTCTGATAACCCACAATAAACGAGGTAAGTTTGGTTAATGACTGCTTGCCAGAGCCTCCAACACCGACAAGAAGTGCATTTCCTTTAGGCAAGTATAGGATGCGTGAAATGCGCACAATCTGCGCCAGTGCATCTTCAAAGAGAACTAGATCCATTTTAGAGCCACGGACAGTCTCGTTGTATTGTCGCATGAGATCACCAACGCGATCCCTGAGTTGTTCGAAAGAGGCTATCTAAAAAAGTAAAGTGGGAGGGCTATAAGTTGGGTTAGTGTTGGGTTGGGAGTGCACTGCGATGGATGTAAATAAAGCAAGCAAACACAACTTTTGACTTCGCATTCCATGCAACGTTACTTTTAAACAAGAGAAATACCGGTTGCAAAGGTACAGAAATTTATCGTCCATTACGCTTTTCTGGATATGCTGAGGTTTCTTATAGTATGACAGTTTGGTGTCCGAGTGTTTTTGAGTTTGCCATAAAACTTTTAGTTCCGATTCAAAGTGGAGCTACCTAACGAGATCGTTGACAATATGCGTCACACAAAACATAAGCAGATAATACACTAATTGATCTAATCCTGATTTCGAATCCAGCCGTAATCAGCGCAATATGCGAGGCTTCCTTAATGCAAAGTGGCAATTAGCAGATTGTATACATTCGACCTTCATAGGTTTAATAACTATTTATTCAAATGTACACCATACAAATCTGTCAAGCCAGGTACCAATTTGCCACCGATAATTAGCTCTCAAGCGAAAGATGTATGATTATAACCGGAACTTAAGGGATGCAAATCAATCGAAACTCATAAATACAGGTGTTGTAGGTAGTCCAGAGACCTATTGTGAACAATAGCCCAATTTATGTTTTTTCCTCGCGTAACAAATTGTACTAACAGCCTTGGTTGCATAAGCAAGCACGTCTGTGAGACTCTCGCAATGAGGCTGGACCTAAACGTGGTGCGTTGGTTTGAGTGCCTTAGCAATCCATTGAGCTATGCTAGGTGGTGCTTTTTCACACATTCAGAGCCACTCATACCAGATTGGCCAATGGTTAGAGTCCAGAAAAACTCTGTCTCCCGGCGCCCCAGGTTGGAGCTTGGGGTGAGGGTGGCTCCTTAATCCATAAACCGGACTCCTTGTAGTGCAGTGCCGAAACCCCGCTGTCTTGCGGTAAGGTTTTTGAACCAACTCGTTCTCCTGTTTAGGCCTGGGCAACCTGACCGTATCCTGCCAACGCAATATACCATGACCTTTCCTGCTGAGAATCTCTTGATGCTCTGACCGTCACAGATGATAATGTACGTTGCCCTATCTGCTGCATCGAGCAGAGTGGCTAAGGGTTTCGATGCTACTGCTCAGGCCTTCCTGTATCCTTATTCCCCCTCTTGCGCTTTTGAACTCCTACCGTCCCGTACTAAATTTACTTTACCCCCCATGTTTTCAACCCTCCAATTCTCCAGCCTACCCCTTCTTGCTTTAATAGGCGTTTATCTTCGAGTTTCAACTCACATGCAAACGCGGGGCGTCAATCTTGTCCTATCGACAAGCGCATGTCCAAACAAGCGGGCAAGCCCAGTTCATCGGCTTCTATTTGGAGCCCCCGATCCTCCCTCAGAGTGGCATGCCTCAACGTACGCATATGGTTACAACTCTGGCAACAGGCAGCACTTGCCTGAACATTAGATACCCTCTCGATCGATATCTGCTGCGCATCGTAATTCCGCCCAAAAGACCCTAGCTCTGTTCTCACTCTGAGATTCACTTCAGGTGACACTAGCAGTGCTTTCTCATTGCGCCTATCTGGAGACCATGTAGCTTTGAGTACCGGCCAAACCGGGGTGGGTATTGCCGTGAGGTCCTGAGATGAAGCTGCTCTGGTTGATTAGATCCCAATCAGTAGACGGAAGTTTGCGGTCCGACTGGCTGGCTCGTTCAAGGCTTCGAAGTCGCGCAAGGCTAATAGTTATCTGTTTGTCATCGCTGCTTACGACCCCACAAACTGTAGCGATGACTCGGTAATAGACGAGTTCCATCGTCAACTGAACGAGCTCCTTCTCCACAGAAGAAGCACGAAGATTGGAATGCTAGCTGATGATCTGAAAGTTCAAGTTGGGAAATGGTCCCCCTGATGAGCTGCATCTGGGTGACCAACATGGTGTAGGCTCCATTAAGGATAACCCTGAACGGTTACTTCATATGTGTGAAGATTCTCACATATTTTTTGCGAGCACTAATTTCCGACACACCACCCGTCGCAAGGTGACATGGCGCCCATCAGTCTCGAACCAGCGATGGATGCAATACGATCACATCGCGATCAGTTATTGCTGGAGTGGCTGAGTCTAAAACTGTCGCTCGATTTGGACCACATGTGAGGACACTGACCATGCACTTCTATGTGCTGATCTGCGGATGCGATTTGGCGGTCGCCCTAGACGACCCTGTGAGCGAATAGACACCAGTAGAATGGCAATGCCAGGGGGTTCTAAATGCGTATCGAAGTACACTGGCTTTCGGATTGAGCATGCGCTTATTGAATACAGTTGAAGGTCACTAGTCGCATGCTCACTATACCTTACTAGAAGCAGGTAAATCCTCATGTGGTAAATCCACTAGCCAAAATTGACACTGGATCTCTTCGCAGTCTCTGGAAGTTATCAATGCTCGCCGGTACCTTCCGGTTGGAAGCGAACACAACGAGACTCGCAAAGACCTGAGGACAAAACTTCAAGGTATTCTGAAGAGAGACGGTGAATCTTGGTGATCGCATTGTGTGTCAGAGGTGGAAGTAGCCGCTGCCCTTGGTAACCATTGGAAGTTGTTCCGACCGACGGGAATTGCTATATTCCTCACTGGCCAGTGATCACCCCGCTCACTGGGCTGTCCCGTAGGATCCGCCCACTCTCTCAGAAGTCAAACTTGAGATCGGACTGTTGAAATTAAATAAAGCCGCGGGACTAAATGATCTTCATCTAGTTCTCTTCCAATTCGGGGGTCCTGCTCTTGTTGATGATTTACGCGAATTACTAGTGAAACAGTATAAACAAAAAACTGTCCCAACCGGATGGAGCCGCTCCGTTATTGTCCCGATCTTCAAAGCAGACTCGCGTTCGGAATGCGGTAATCATAGATGAATCAGTCTGATCCCCAGCACCTCCAAATCACTTGCCTCCCTAATCCTTTACAGACTGACTGGCGATCGTGGAAGCCAGTTTCGTGAGGAGCAGGCCGAGTTTCTTCTAGGTCAGGGATACATCGATCACATCTGCACTTTGTGTCAGTTGTTGGAGCACCGTCACATATATTGGTGGCCCACCGTTGTCGTGTTCCTCGTCAACAAAGGTGCTTTCGAATCGGTTGATCGGTGTGCCCTTTGGGACTGTCTACTAAGGAAAGGTGTGCATGGGAAGCATTTAAAAATTATGGGTACGCTTCACTGCGTAGCTCGAGCAAAGTTAGGGCTTACTGCAAATTATCGACCCCTTCAATCTCTTCAGCGGTATAAGATAGGGATGCGAGCTGTCACCATTGCTCTTCAACTTCGCTATTGACGGAGTCATGGAAATCGCGTTCACAGGACACGACTTAGAAGGAGCTGCTCCCAGATGAACGACTTCTTGACTTGGAGTATGTTGAAAATATTCCCCTAACCTGTGGCAGCTACCAAACGTGCCAAGCGGCACTGGACAGATTAGCACTGGCTGTCACCCGTTTCGGGCTTTGATTTGCGCCATCGAGGTGCGAAGCTTCCCTCCAAGATTGGCACGGACCACCTTCTTTGCTGACCCTTGGTGGGGATCAGCTAGAAGTCGTTCAAAAGTTCAACTACCTAGGTAGATGTATTAACGCCGTTGGAATTGAAGACAAGCTCAAAAACTGTATAGTAAAAGCACGAGGCGCTTTTGTTAACCTTCGCCACCTATGGCGGCGGCACGACATCCTTCTCTTCCTGAAGAGTAGAGTGTACAATGCAACCGTACGTTCGATTCTCTGTAAGGTTGTGAAGCCTGGCCCATTAGATCAGCAGTTATAATGAGGCTAGGTACCTTCGATCACCAGGGTCTTTGCACTTTGGCACATTTCTGGTGGGAACACCATGTGAGCAATGAGCGTGTTGGATGCCTTGCTTATGGCGCAGGAAGAGGAAGCGAACCGTTCAGCATCGTTAGTTCACGTACTAAGCTCCGATGGCTGGGCTGCATATTACGCAGCTAGCCCACCGACTCCCCCAGCGTAGGTTGTTTGTGCGCCGGGGTTGTGGATGAAAGAAGGGGAGAGGTAGTCAAGCGATGAAGTGGTCTAGAGGAATGAAGGCCCTTACTTCGAAGTTGGTCACGGTTGGAGCCTCTCGGCTCCCCTTGTTGACATGGTTAGGAGCCAACCACGACGATGTCTGCGTTGTGAGTTCTTTGTCCCACCCCTCCGGCTTAGCCTCTCCTCCAAACACGATCCCACTTATTAGGATAATATGACTTTCGCGGCACTGTAGCCTGCTGTTGCCTCTTCGGAACAATGTCCATCCGTTACTCATGACTCAGCCTGCATGCCTCTGTTTCATGACATGTTCCGTTTTTTTGTATTGCGGCACAATAGCTGAGGTGTTTTCCATCTGCAGCTAACGTGTACAGTCATGATGGTGATGACTCTCACCGTGTCCTCTTTGTGAACGCCAACTGATTGTTTCCGAAATCCGACTTCATTATCTTGGCTTTTGTGTCATTACCGATGCCACACATGTACACCCTCCAGCTAATGATTTTCTCGTCCTACTGATCATCTCCGACCATCTTTGACCCTATTGTGAAAACGTGTCACTCTGTTGGGTGAATGGACGATTGTGTGCGTCAGAACACGAATCCACCGCTATTGAAGAAGACTCGCTTACCCTAAGCCGGTCTATAACTATCCAGCAATAAAGATCTCAGTTTCGTTTTTGACAATTCGAATGGAAGACCGCTAAGTTGCGATGTACAAATATAACAAGCTCGTCGTTTATATCAAACTGTTAATAGGATTGCTTTGATTTAACTGAAGAATGTGATAGCTGTAAGGAAGAAGCAACAGTTCACCTAGTAACTTCTAACTATTGAGACAGTCAAACCATCCTAAGCAGTTTCACAAGTAATAACGTATAGTGATGAAGACCAATGGGCGGCCGAAGCAAGTGAATCAAGAAGTCGACTTAAAAATGGCCTTACGAGACGTGCCATTGTCACATAGTCACCCAAGGC